TGTTGGCCAGTACCCCTGCTGATTTTGTCATAACATTTAGAAAGTTATTGTGAAAGATCCGGAAATAGAAGGTTGTGGGCTGAATGATTGGAAGATGTGAATTGGTGAAGGATATCTTCATATAGTCTATCTTATGGTTCCTCTGATGGACCAAGATGTCTTTATTAGATATAGAATAGGAAGAAATATAATATGCCTTCTTATTGCCCACTTTTGGAGTCATTATGGTGTCAAGTGAATGCCCTGTCAATAATTATTTTCATGATGATGCTTTGGCTTAATACCGTGTTAGTTGATTGGTGGTTCCCAAGCCATGTGCAACAAGTCTGGCTTCTTATCTTTGAATAAAACATTATTCTTCTCCTTCTATTACATCCTTTTACCTTTCCCCCTTTCTATTTCTTGTCACTCACAATATAGTTATAAAAATACATGCTGGAGCATACGCATATATCTACATTGTGTAGATTATATGCATATTATTGGTGATATCTATATTTTATTTTCATTTATTTATAATTTTCTAGGGAAAAAAAAAAAAAAGATTTTCGTCTCATTAATGTAGCATTCCCTTATTTTACTGAGTATAACCTGGTCTTCAGTTACAACCTACTTTTTCCTGAAGCCAGGTATATCAGATGCTCTTTTTTGTAAATTTACTTAGTGGTAAGGCAACTGAATTTAAGCTCGTGGATTTGATGGAAGTTTAGCAGAGATCGAGAGAATATATGAGATTGCTGTCAATGGTTCGGACGATGAGAAGTTATCCGCTGCTATGATTCTTTGTGGGGCATCTCTAGTTCGTGGTTGGAATATTCAGGTATTGTAGTGCAGAATTCATCATTATCTTCCTTTTCGTTCAGGAGTCTATTCTCTTTTTTCTTGCTCGCATTTCATTTATAGTTGGACTTATTTTGGTTTCTGTTGTTTGTAGGAAAACACCATTCTTCTCATTATAAAATTGTTGTCACCCGAAGTTCCTGCAGATCATTCTGGGAGTGAAAGCCATTTAATTGGTTATGCTCCATTTCTATATGTTCTTCTTGTTGGAATATCATCTGTAGATTGCGTGCAGATTTTGGCCCTACATGGCTTGGTAGGTTGCATGTAAACACTCCATTTTCTGCTCATTAATGTTTATGTAGGTGTCTTTATATTTGATATTTGCATTTATAGCTGAAATAGTAGTAAAGTAAATTCTTGAAGAGTTTGATTTTAAGAAGGCTCTGTCCTCCACACAAGACCAATAAATGAAATGTGGAGGATTCCTTTGTATTTGAAAATGAAGAAAGGACTCCCGCTAAATTTCTCTGTAATGTTGATCCAGAAATGAATCCCTAGAAGAAAAACAAGCAAAAGAATTGGAAAAAGTGTTTCTTTTACATTGGTGAAGCCCCTTGCTACATTCCAAGTAAACAAACCATGTTTTCTTTCATATGCTCATTTTCACCTAGTAATTCAAAAGATTAGTATCAAGGAAGTCCATGTGAAGCAACAAAAAACCTTTGGTCTTCATATCGTGTATAAACTGATGTTGTTCGACATTTATTGCCAGGTCCCACTACTTGCAGGTGCACTGATGCCTATTTGTGAGGTTTTTGGATCAAGCGTTCCCAATGTCTCATGGACTCTTCCAACAGGGGAAGAATCATCTTGTCATGCAGTTTTCTCCAATGCATTTACCCTTCTATTGAGGTTATGGAGGTTTGATCATCCTCCTCTTGAACAGGTAATAGGAGACATGGCAGCGCCTGTGAGGTCCCAACTAAGTCCAGAATATTTATTATTAGTTCGGAACTCTATGATAACATCTTTTGGAAAGTCACCCAAGGATCGATTTAAAACCAAGAGATTTTCAAAAATCTTAACTATGTCTTTAGGTCCCATTTTTTTGGATTCTTTTCCCAAATTAAAGTTCTGGTACCGACAGCATCAAGAATGTATTGCTTCCACCCTCTCTGCTCTTGAACATGGGACACCTGTTCATCAGCTTGTTGATGCACTTCTCAATTTGATGCTTAGAAAGATTAATAGAAGTGGGACTCCTTTAACTCCTACAACTTCCGGAAGTACTAATTCATCTGGGTCTGGAGTGGAGGATGTGTCAAGTAGGCTCAGAGTACCTGCATGGGATATCCTGGAAGCAACTCCTTTTGTTCTTGATGCTGCTTTGACTGCCTGTGCCCATGGAAGACTCTCACCTCGTGAACTAGCAACAGGTTTGCCTAATTTGCTTTAAACGGAATGGGATGTTTTTGTTTCTCGTTGAACCTTTATGAATGCAGGCATATGTGAAGCGTGTTTCTATGTAATGAGGCCTCAAACATGGAATGATGCTAAGCGCTTAGAAAGAAACAGAGCAAGTTATCTGATTTATTAGGTTAAAGTTGGGGTTCAATACAAATGCTACGTTACCACTTGACCCAAATACTAAATTTGATAGGTAATGACACCAAAATAATGTTTAAACTCTAATACTGTACCTCCTGGTTTGCAGGGAATGTTAACTAATTACAACCACAACCACAACCTCAACCACAATAAGCATAAGCACAACTTCCTCTAATTTAATTATTACAATGGGAGGACTTGAACAAAAGACTACTTGGTCATAAGTATTTGTATTGCTTGTTTTGTTTAGAGAAGTTTGATATGGTCAATTGCTTTTGATTTCTTACCATAAAAGAGGATGAGTTGTTATATGAATTACCATTGAGCTGACCTGTAAGATCATCTCTGGGATGTCTTTGAAGTGCCTATAAACCACCCTCTTCCTCTGCCTTCTTTTTGCACAAAAGTATGGATAAACATATCTCTTTGCGTATGTGATGTAGAATTTACAGGGAATCACTGACAATCTATTCTAATCTCTCAATGAATTATTTGCTACTATAAGATCTTTGTCTTCTTATCTCAGGGCTTAAAGAACTTGCTGATTTTCTTCCAGCGACCCTGGCAACCATAGTTAGCTACTATTCAGCAGAAGTAACACGAGGTATATGGAAGCCTGCTTTTATGAATGGAACTGACTGGCCGAGTCCTGCTGCAAATTTAATCAGTGTTGAGCAACAGATCAAGAAAATCCTAGCTGCCACTGGTGTTGATGTTCCAAGTCTTGCTACAGGTATTACTTCATATTTTGAAACTCTTTTGGTTATTTTATTCGTTTCATGGATTCCCTGTATATAGGCAGACTGAAAGTTCTTATGTGTACTGCTTTACTGCTTCTGCAACCAAGGTTAATCAATCTTTCCCTTTTAATTCTTTGGGCATCATCAGCTGGACTATCCCAAACAAGTGACTTTCTTTTAGCTGGATCTGCATGATTTTGCCGGCAAAATGTTTCCAAAATATTGGTTGATCTAACTTGATAATTAGGTCAAGACATATTACTAGAAACAGAAATATCCTTCCCTCAAACACGGTAAGATCCTCCTGGTAATGGAGCAGTAAGGATGCAATCACTTGGGGTTCTGTCCTTGACTCCTCGTTACTATAGTGTGGGTTGGATGAATGAAATATTTTCAGATATTTACATTGTATTTTGTTGTTTTTACTAGTGAAATCTGTTTAACGTTATGCCTCAAAAACCTTTTTCGCTTGCAGGGGCCAGTTCTCCAGCTACACTTCCTTTGCCCTTGGCTGCCCTGGTTAGCCTCACAATAACATATAAACTTGATAAGGCGTCCGAACGTTTTCTCGTTCTAGTTGCCCCTGCCTTAAGTGCTCTTGCCATTAGTTGCCCCTGGCCATGCATGCCCATCATAGCCTCCCTATGGGCTCAGAAAGCAAGGCGTTGGATGGACTTTCTTGTGTTCTCTGCTTCTCGAACAGTCTTCCACCACAGTAGTGATGCTGTGGTTCAGCTCCTTAGGAGCTGCTTCACATCCGCTCTTGGATTGAGTTCTTCCAACGTTTGCAGCAATGGTGGTGTCGGTGCCCTGCTTGGCCATGGATTTGGCTCTCACCACTCTGGTGGGATCTCCCCAGTTGCCCCTGGTATCCTCTTCTTACGAGTACACCAATCTGTCAGAGATGTAATGTTTATGAAAGAAGAAATTGTCTCTCTTTTGATGCTTTCTGTAAGAGATATTGCTAGTGGTGGGTTACCTAGGGGAAAATCAGAGAAATTGAAGAAGACCAAGTATGGTTTGAGATATGGACAAGTTTCTCTTGCTGCAGCAATGATGCGTGTGAAGATTGCCGCTTCACTAGGGGCTTCATTAGTTTGGATGTCTGGTGGATCAAGTTTGGTGCAATCTTTGATTACAGAAACTTTACCTTCGTGGTTTATATCTGTTCATGGACTGGAGCAGGAAGGTGGAGAATGTGGAGGCATGGTTGCCATGCTGGGGGGGTATGCACTTGCGTACTTTGCAGTGCTTAGCGGGTCATTTGCTTGGGGAGTGGAAGCAGAATCAAGATATTCAAAGCGGCGGCCAATAGTTATTGGGGCTCACCTAGAATTTCTTGCAAGTGCACTGGACGGGAAGATATCACTTGGTTGTGATGGTGCAACTTGGCGGGCGTATGTGTCAGGTTTTGTGAGCTTGATGGTAGCATGCACTCCAACATGGATGCAAGAGGTGAATGTGGATGTACTGAAAAGGTTGAGTAAGGGCCTCAGGCAATGGAACGAGGAAGAATTAGCTTTAGCCGTACTGGGAATTGGTGGTGTTGGTGCAATGGGTGCAGCTGCTGAACTCATTGTGGAATGTGGGATTTGAATTCATACAGTTTTAAGATGCTGATTTATGTTTTGTTAAGAGTATATTTATTAGTGCATGTAAAGTTAAAACATACATATTATTTACGATTAAATAGAAAATAGTCCGTTCATCCTATTCCTATCCTATCTATTAACATATTTCTTGTCGACAAGCAAAAATTAAATTAAATTATAATAATACTGGAGGCTTCGAAAATCAGTTGGCATTTGGAACCAAAAACTGAAAAGAGGTAAATATAAAAAAAATAATCAAGTTAAGCTATCACTCGACTTATATGTTAAACCCAAGAAGATATATCCGCGTAAGTATTCTCCCACTCCGACCTTGCTGCTGCCTCTGTGCTACTGCAATTTGGGAGGCGATAGAAATGGAAGCGAAAGTTTTCCCGCTGACATGCGCACCTCTTTTATTATCTTCTTCTTCCTTCCCCACGAACGTACGTATCTCTCTTTTCAGGACGAAACACTCACCTGCTATAGGTTAGTTTCTTCAAAGCCCACTTATGTTCCACTCTCGAAGAACCTTTTTTCTTCTTCTTTTTCATTTTTAAAGTAAAAATAGAGAGTAAGTTTCTGGGGTTTATTTAATGGGCAGTTCTGCGGAGAAGCGTAAACAAAGAAGAAACGGTTTTAGAAGGCATGCCTAAGGAGTATTACGATGAGGTATGCGTCTCCCTTGTATTTCTTGTCTTTGTTTCTCTTGTATTTTTTTAATTATTGTTATTATTAGTGGTCGATTATTGGGTATTCTTGGCTCTCTGACGATGTAGGCAAGAGGGTAACTAAGATGGTTCACTATTCCCTTTTGCAGTGGCTAATTATGCCAAACAAATCTTTTTATTTGTGCTTTCTGTTTTACGAACCAAACTATGAACTGTTTTAGAATTAGATAGTTGATTCTGGGGGTCTGTTGAGCTGGCTAAAATGGCTGGACTTATTTGTTATAACCGTTACGAGATAATTTGGTAATTGAAATGAATAAGAAAATTATAATTTCTGATCGGAAGCTTGCTTTTACCTTCTCTTGGCTAGGAATGGCAAGCTCGACAACGAGAAAAGACAAAGGAGTTGCATAGAAGACAGCGAGAAGAAGATGAAGAAGAGGAACAAAAGATTGACGAATATCGTGAAATTGGCCTGCGGTTGAAGGGATATCCTGAAGAAGATGTCAGAAAAGCAAGACAATTGGTTTCTACCTTTATCAGAGCTGAAGAGGAGGTGGAAGAGGTAAAGAATCCAATATACTTGAATGATTGAATCATAGATATTTAGAATCAGAAGGTCAATTTAAATTATAGGTCATAATTGATAAGCATAGTTTTATGATATATATGAATTTTCTTCATGATTCTCAACATCCGAATGAGGAAAATACTTTTCTTGGGTGGGAACTTTACCTTGAAATTGTATGGCATAGAAGTTGCATAAACCTTTTGGCTTAATGTTTTATGAGAAATAGCTCTTACTCTATCAGTTAGAAATCAGAAGAATGTTCTTTGGTCTGAGATGGATAGCTTAGTTAATTTGCTTTTGCATGACAAGTTTTAGTTACAAATCTTTTGGATTTTGAAGTGTGATTCTTTCTGCGCATAGAATTGTTGAGAAGTTTTTTGAAAAAAAAATTCATTTAAAATTTATTATGCTCCCCTTTTCTACCTTATCAGTGCATAAACATTTACTATATCTTATTGCCAAATACACTCTGTTTCATTTACTATATCTTATTGCCAAATACACTCTGTTTCATTACCCTCTATCCCTATGCATCCTTCGTTTAATCTTCCAGTAATGAACTATGTAAGGTAAAAACACTCATATCAGACAACTGATTCTATATGACTTCTTGTTATGCAGAAAATTGAAGAAGCTGCTGAAAAAGGAGAACTTACTGAACTTGTTCTACTGGTCATATGGAATCGCCTTGATCTTGCTCGACGTGATGTAAGTTAGTGTTAGTATGTTTACCATTTATTGGTTCGTTACTTGCTTCATTTTCTCTATCCATCTTTCCATTCAAGGGAATATTAATAAGGTGATGTTCACCTAGTTTTTATTTATATTATGTGATACTACTCATATGATGTCAATATGGTTTCTAGAATTGACTTCCAAATCTACTTAAGAGGTAATATAACAACTATACCACTGTAATTTTTTTTATTATTGATTTATTTGATTATTGTATATTTCCAGGAAGAAAAGGATGCTATAAGAAGTCTTGATCTGCTATACAGAAGGGTTGAGGTATGTACTACAGTTGATATTTTAAGTTCCAGTCAAAGTGTTATTACTTTCACCGAGGGAATTGAAGAATTTCAGAAGATAATTAAATTGTTCGAAACTGTATGACCATTTTTGACTTGTGCTATATTCCTCAATTATGTTTTACTATATAGGTCCAGTACTGAATGCTGAATTCATCATCCTGCATGAACACTCAGGATGATCTTATACAAACCTTTTAACACTTTTGGCTTATCAATTTGTGTTCTTGCATGTTAATTGTGTTCATGGTGTGTGTGCACTTTGTAATGTGAATTGCTGCCTTTAGCACTTTGTAGGACTGGATTGAAAATATTCAGGTGGCTTGTCTTTTTTTTTTTTTTTTCCTTCTTTAAAGAGAATTAGGAAAATCAAGAAAAGAAATAGTTGATAATCTTCATCAGTTTCATCAAGTTATGCAATTTTTTTAGTTACTGTTTTGTTATTATTCCAGCTTACACATACTGCATGATGTGAAATTTTGCCTTTTACTCTGGTTTCTTTCTTTTGAATTTCTCAATTCTTTTTTCTTTACTATTAGTTTGGAACTTCAGATGATTTAAGTTCCACTTAACATTTCAGACTGAGATTTTGAAACGGGAGGCTACTCCTGCCATGAGACTGCTCAACGATCTTCTGAATATTCATGATGGATTTGATGATGAAGGGTGGCTGAAGGAATGCAGAAAACTCATGATTGATACCTTTCCACGAGAAGATCCATTTACCATTCTTGTGCCAGAAGGGTTTGACATTGATAAGGTATGCTGCAAATTCTAAGATCTGCTTAACTGCTCCAATAGATCTGCTTACGCACTCACCAAAAAAATTGGAGAAAAAAAAACCTACATGATTGTTTAACTGCATGCTATGTTCTATAACACAAGAGAATCCTTCTGATAGGTTTAAAAATCTGAAAAAAGAGAAGAAAACAACACATTGTTATTGTAACACAAGAATAGTTTTTAACATTTTAAATTGAGCCACTTCTATTTTAATTCGTAATAACAAATTGTAATAAGTCCCTGAATTTGTAAATCAGCATCATGGGCCACTACGACCACCACTGGAAGGAGATGACCCTCTCTTGAGGGTAGATTTTATCAGAGAGGTTGATGCATTGCTAAAAGAGGTAGAGCTGGAGCAAAGTGAAGCGCGGAATTCTCAAGGGTTTGATCCCGAATCTGTTGCAGTTAGGTTGAAGCAACAAGAGAAGCAACGAACCATACACCAAGTTGAAGCTTTGTTAGACCTCGCCCTTCATTTGAAGTGGTAATCATCACCTTTCGTATAGAACCCTATATCTGCACTTTGTTAATCTCCACTTAGGTCTACAGAACAGTTCCGTTGGATTTTTTTTTTTTTAAATTTATTTCTAGAGTTTCGTGTTGTAAATATCCTAGGATGTGATAAAACTTGTTTGTTAGGTTAATTACTTCGTTGAATTATATGTGACAATATTTTGAGCATTTAGGTCTCCTCTGTCATGGCACTATTGAATCGTTCTTGTATCTGCAAAGCTGTTCAGCGGAAGAACAGGAATTATAACTCTTTCATTGAGAGAAACAGGATGCCGGAATTCATATGATAAGAAAAGTCGAATACTGCTACACTTCACACCAGAGGTAAAACATAGAAATGATTTATTGGGTGATATTTCAACATTTTCTTAATGAAAATAACAGATTGATATTTGATAATGGCCTTACTAAAACGAATTAACAAATATACACTGGGTTAACGGCAGTGATATTTATTTCAACTCACCCCTAAAATTCACTATACTTTTCATCTTTTATCACAATAATACTGTACAAAGAAAGAAAAAAAGGTTCAAATCCTATAATTACAAAATCACCTGGGAGAGATTTCAATTGCTAGAACAGCAGGCCTCAAATAAAGTGCAACTGTAAGGCTTCATTTCATAAATATGTAATCCTACCTCCTGCTCAAGAACAGGCTCACCGTCAATTGAGAAAAACCCTGGGAATTGAAGTGCTGTGTCAACTAGACGATGCCATGTCATCCCTTCTGCAGGCGGCGGTAGACTAACATTCTCCGATCGGCTAGATGCATTAAAGGCCATATACACATCACCTTTAATATGAGATGACTCAGAGTTCAACTGGCTCTCAGATTTGTCAGTCTTCAACCTCACAGCCAGGAACTTGTAGGATGCATCTTCCCATCTTGGTGGAGACAGGTCACTTCCGTACCAGTCAATGTTTTCTTCTTTCAGAAAGTTCCGCTGCTGAAGCAGGTCACTTCGCTTCAGTCTAAATGAACTCAAAAATGAGATGAATTGTTTGGTTTGAATACCAAAACCTGTTGCCATAGTATTCCAATTGAAAAGTTTCCGATCAGCATATGAAGGGGAGCCTCCGGATGATTGGCCACATTCATCCCCCATGTTTAGAATAGGAACACCCAGTGAAAGATACAAAACAAAGAGAAAATTACGTATTTGTTTAAGTCTTCTTTCAAGGACAGCAGATCTTTTTGTAGGTCCTTCTTCCCCACAATTCCAACTTAATTCGGTAGCTAGCTGGTCACTACTGAAGCTAACCAGGTCCACAAGGGGAAGGCCAGAGTTCCTCGCAATAAAATTGAAAGAATAAGCTGGGCCTCGTCCATCTGAAAAGACATCTCCACTCCCACAAAGCCGGGTTGCAAGATAGCTGAGAAGACCCTCACCTCTCAAAAAATTCCTCACATCGTTACAGAATCTTGTATTTACTTCTGCCCATCTTTTCCAATGAGGAAAATGAATTTCCTTTGGTACCACATCATGGGGACCAGAGCAATCTGCAATGATTTTCACCTTTGAGAGGAGGGGATCGAAAGCAATTGCTTCAACCAAAGGAGGGCGAGACAAATACTCACCATGAAAACCTCTCAAAAGAGAGGAAGCATTTATGAAACAGAAACCATCTATATGAAACTCGGTCACCCAATACCTCAGACTATCCAAAATCAGCTGTTGAACTATGGGATGATTACACTTCAAGACATTCCTAGTTTTCAAGTCTTCAACCTCTTTCCCATAGTAATAGGATAAATCATCTATTCCTTGCAATGCTCCACCATCAGCAGTATGGGTGTAAACAACTTCCAGTAAAACCTCTATCCCATTGGCATGCAACTTCTTCACCATTTCCTTCATAGAATTAATCGCAGCTATACAGGCACCGGAAGGTCCATGTAGGGGCATTGGCGAGAAGAAATGACATGGGAAATATGGTCCTTTTTGTTCATCAAATGGAAATATTGGCTCTAATAAGACTGCATTCAAGCCAAGATCTTTCAAATGGTGTACCTTCTCAGTTAAACCAGAGAAGGTCCCAGCTACTTCAGTTAGTAGCTGACTAGACTTGTGCTTAGTAAAACGATTCACATTCAACCGATAAACCATTAGCTTTTCCATTGGTAAGTTCAAACAAACATCACCATCCCAGTCAAAAGCAGGTTCCTTGCATGGTTGTCCAAGGTATGTTGAAAGCAATCCTGACTCAGGATGAATAGGAATGGAATTCTGGATAACTTTAGCATATGGATCCAAAAGAACACGCTCTGCATGAGACTTATGTCTGTTTCCCTGACTAACAGCCCACTTGCATCGATAGCAGTAGCTCACAAAATTCCAGGAGCTTTCCATTGAGGCATGCCACACATCACCTGATCGATTGACATAGGGATCAAGATCAAGCTCCAAAGCAGGTTCTTCTGCTTTGATGTCATCATACAAGCATAGGACCACACTTTCTGCATTTCTTGAAAAGATAGCAAAATTGATGGTATCATCAGTTGGAAAGGAGGGACCCAATGGAGCAGGAGAACCAGCATTGAAACCAACTGGCACACAAAAACTTGCCTTCAGATGACTCCTGATTTCTAAGTCACTTGAATCAGAGCCTAATGGAGACTTCAGCAAGAATGAGAGATAGAAGGGGGTTTGTTTTGCCTCAAACTCCAATTCAACTACAAATCTACCTAAAGAATTCTGCATAAATGGGGTTTCAATCATCTTGGTTTTGGCATCTGGAACAGGTTGTTGAGATTCCAGAGAAATGAAATTTGATGAATCAGATCTGTACACACCCCAAATCAGTACCAGCCTATTGTCACCACTGCTTAGTTGCAAGGATATAACTTCGATCTTCACTTCATATTTGACATCTGCTTTTCTAATAAAAACATTCACCAGACCGCCAAGTTCTGTCCTAAATAGATAAGTGGACATCTTCTTGAGTTCATCAACTTCAGTACTCGTAGTAAATATCTGCTCAGTTTGGTCAACAGAAACTCGTGATGCAGCAAACACTCTTAAATTAATATCTCGATTAGTTTTTACAACATTCTTAGAAGCTTCTCCACACAAAAGTTTTCTTTCGACAATTATTCTCCCAGGTACCTGCGTAAGTTTTGATTTACAGATATAATGTGGGGCAGCAGTTAATTTAGATGATTGTATGGCTCCACAGCAGGGCCGTATTGCAAGTGATAGAGGAAGAGTTGCCATCTATTGTTGTAAAAGCAGATCACCCGGAACCAGAAAGCAGAACAAAACCCTTGCAAACAAGGAGGAGATTTTCCTACTGAATTTGAAAAGATGTTCTGTTTAGAATTTGCAAATATATTGGCTGTATTCCCTGATAACCGGATCTTAAAGCAGTCTAAATATTCCTCGGATTTCACATAAAGGACCAAGTTTGATTCCCAATTGTGTCTATACAAAACTTTTAACAGTGTTTGGATGAAGATGGAAAATACAAATCCAGGCCTTTAAACATACATGTCAAATGAACATCACGATCATCAATATAATCCTAAAAATGTGCATATATGATTAACTTATTCAAAACTAAAAAATAAAAAAAATCATATGTATTGAGTAAGTACGATTTAACTTCCGAGTAATAAGTAGTTCATGAATAACAAATTAAAGAATACACAGATGAGAGAAAGAGGCAAATGTAGGATAATCACAGAGAATTAAGAGAAGAGAGTTGCGTTGAACTTACATCATTAAATGAGATTTTATGAGTTGATGAAAAAGCTGAGAGAGAAACTGATATTCCGAGGCATGATGATGATGATGAGGGAATTGGCAGTGGCACATGAAAGAGATGGCAAAGGAACTAAGAGACACAGGGATTCAGGATTTGTCTTCTTTGAAAAATAAATAAATAGCCACGCGAAGGAGTAAGGACCGCACAACACACCACTAATCGTAAAGCTTTGATTGATCTAATATGGATCGGATCCTGTTGGGTCGAAGCCCGAATATCCGGATCTTGGGTACCGAACCGAGTCGAATAATGTCACAAGTTGACATAATGAACTCACAAATCACGAACAATAACCACCCAGTGACTATTTGGTGGTGTTGGTAAAAGTGTTGTAGAGATGGCCACATCAAGAAGTGGCGGTGGAAGCAGCAGAGAAGGAACTGCGAAAGCGATGGTGAGCGATCAGATTTCTCAAGCCATACGGTCCACCTCCAATCTCCTCCACCTTATGCAGGACTCTTCGCCTTCTCAGGCATGCACCACCTCTTCTCTCTTTAATTTCATGCTCAAAGCATTTAATCCGATTATATATTAATATGAATTTCATGAGAATTGTTGCAATTTCCCGTAATTGTGATGAGGGGAACAATAATAATCAGCCTTATTTAGTATTTAAGTAGACAAATTTTAATGTTAATTCTTTACGATTGAAGAAGATTTTTGGTAGCAATTATTGAGATGAGCCGTCTCTAGATAATGTTTTCTTCCCAGTTTCTTATGGGTCATCATAAAACTAGTACTGCCATCACCAGACACAAGTCTCAGCCTAAAAAGATTTCGAAATACTAAAGGCAGGCAGTAAATCTCATAATTCGATTGACCCGGGGGAAAAAGCATCTAATGCAAGTGAGAAGACCATATGAAGGGAACTATAAGGGAAAACTTAACAACTGTATTTGTGTAAATCAAGAGCAATATGGATCTGTATTCTTTATTAATCATTTAGATGACGCGAATGGATTGTCAATGCAATTATGCAAGTGATTCAGCTCTGGGAAACGGACATTATTGCCAATTCTATGCAATTGTAAGTTAATAATACTCTGCACTATTGGCTAGAATGAACAGATCTGATAACTTAGTGGACCTATGAGTTGATGAACAATTCGGTCTCACTAGCATTAGTAAAGTTCTCAGCTTTTAAAGCTTAAGTTTGTTCCCATGTGATATTCTCTGGCCTGATAGTAAAATCGAAGTAAGGCATCTGGAAGAGAATTCATTGAATGAGTCTGTAAAGCCATATCGTTGTTAATTGCCCCCATCACTTTGGAGTTTTGGAACCCTGTTTGTTAGGTCTTTATTTCTGTCTTTGGTATATGCTATTGCCTCTGGTTAAACAGCAACTCTGAGACATGAGAAAAGCATCTCCTTTTATAGAAATTTTCTTTGTGTGTACTATTTGGCTCATTTTAAGGTTATAATATCTTGGAAATTTTTTAATAGAAGGTTCCAATTTCATTACATTTGGATTTTCTTAAGTTTCTCAGACATCCTTGTAAAAGTACATATACATGTAACATGTTCAAATAAACTCATATATTACATTCATTATCTGATTTGCAGGTCCAACTAATGAAGCTCCCGAAAAACCTTTTGGCAAAAACTTCCATGATTAAGAATACAGGGCAAGTATGTACACCATTTGTACGAAGATATATTTTTATTCTAGGTACCCAGGTGCAGGCCTTTTGATTGACCCCTTTTTGATACAGGTGTTAGAGCAGATGCCTCAGGTGATTTCTTCCCTGGATGCACATATGGAATATGGATTACAAAGGTTGCTTTTACATAAACCTTTGTTGTTTTAGGCATTGCTGATTTGTGTAACATGGTCTTCACTTTATACATCTAATGTTAGCGGAAATGTAATACCAATTCAGATAAACATGTTAATCTAAGTTGACGTTGCATTACCAGATCACGAGTCACAAGAGTGTTGCCAATTTAGTTTTCTTGTATATTTCATGTTGTAGTTCTTTAAGGTTTTAAAATTTAAAATTATAATTGATGATTTGATAATAAAGATCATGTAATTTTTTAACATTAGAAAAAGAAAAAACTGAGGATGGAGATTATGTGCAGAATATGATACAATTATGAAAGATAATAGTTCGTGAATAACAATGAATGTAACTTCGGGGAATTTATGCCAATTGCTTGAGTTTGACCCTATGAATCCATTGTGCCATTTAGCTTTATTCTACTTACAAATAACAATTGACTAGTCTTATCAATCATATTCTGCATATGTGCGTGTCTGTGTGTATTTAAATACAATGGAAATGATGTGGAAACATAATAACACTAGTAATTTATTGGCATGACGTTTTGCAACAGTTGCATTCTAAATACTTTAATGGGTACCTTAATTTCTTACTTGAGAACTGTTAATAAACTCGATGGCTTGCTGCTTTTGACTTTCTTTCTGAATTTGGCTACCATTCACAGTGTTCCTCATCTGAAACCTGTAGCCCAACTACTTGCAAATATGGAGAGCTCCCAACTTAGTTCTCTCTCTCAAGCTCATCTAGCTCTAAAGGTATTTACATCACCTCTCTCTCTCATGACTAATGACTGCAAAATTTATGTAAAAAACGAGTCATTCACTATATGCTGGACTTGTGACAGTCAGAGTTATTCTCATCAATAGTCCATTATTGATTCCCCATTTAATAATTGCTTTAAAATTCAGTACTAAGTGATGTCTCTTTGCTGCATTTCTTTTCACATGAACCTGGGCTGGTAAACCAACCTGCAGGGGTGGATTTACCGGTCCATTTTGCAGAGTTCTTTAATAGCACCTAAGGACTATCCTTTTATTGCAAATTCAAGTCTAATGCTCTTAAGTCACATTTATTTGTTTCAACTTCATTTTATTGCAGGAACCTGAGTTAGAAAATCATCATAAAGAGGTGGAGTGACCGACCAAACTTTGGAGCCATTCTGCAGAGTTCTTTGTTGGCACGTTAAGACTATGACTTTAATCACGCCAAGCCTCCAAATTCAAGATTAGAGGAATTGTTTTGTCGTGGAGCCAGATTGACTCAGAATCAACCATAGGACACTTAGGAGGTAACGAAAGAATGGTCCATCTTTTGGACACATTGTGTCATATCTCATAATATGCCCCCATCTTGTGGTCCCATGATACACTGAATGTAGTAGAGAACATAACTATCTTCATTTTTTTTTCTCCTAGCCCTTGATACACGTTTTACCTTATACAAAAAAGGCTGCATGATGAATTGACTAAAAAATGGAAATCTAGCATCACTTTCCTTCATTGTGGATTGTTCCAAGTCATCGTGAAGCACATTGTGATGAGCAGATTCCATAATTTATGGTGCAAAAGTTATATTTTATCTTGTTTTCACATTGAGATAGTCTTGCTTGCTTGACATGGCAGTGTAAAGAGTATGCATTGTGAAGCCACCGCCAGGGAAAATGTTGACGAAGACTTTGACAAAAAGTCTGGCTTGGACTGGATTCTTTTCGTGTTTTCTCTAATAATGTCGATGCAATATTAAACTAACCTCCCAGGCTGAGGATAGTTTAGATTGTTGTTGTCCAAACATGCACAATCGATTGTAGTTTCTTATGAACAAGAAAACTTGGATGATTGATTGATTGATTAAAGTAGGCCTAACCTTTGTGCTATGGACCAGGTTTGAGTCACATTTGAAGATGGGTTCAATGATCACCATGATCCAAGTTATGAAAGTAGCATCAATGTGTTACGGTGGCATGATGTTGATGTTATGCAGATATAGCATTAATGGCACCTACTAACTGTTAATTACACCATTTTATAAATATAACTTTATGTAGACGAAAGACTATTCGTATTTTTACCAAACTTTGGGGGACAGTTTTAAGTTTATGATATGATGCTTTTTAGTGTAAACTCAAAATTAAGTAGAAACTTTAACAGTTTTGATAAGTACGTAACTTTATATGCTAAATGATGCTGTTAAATATAACCACAAACTTCAAAATCATAAAATTTGAGCCATATTGAATGAGATCTTATTATAATTAATTAATTAACTCTTATCTCATGCTTCAACTTAAACACATGTAAATATTGTTTTTTCGTATGAAAAAATAAATAAATAAGAAAAAAATATTATTGTTTTCCCACATAGAAATTAATGGTCCAAAGAATCAAATGCCTTTGGCTGGATAACAAATTGAAGCCAGCCATCGTATGCTTTGACTAAAGTATATTTGAACGGTGTAGAATGCAGCGCAACACCACGCCACTTGCATTTGATTCTCCACGTGGCATAAGCCCATCAAAAGTACTATCAATTGGGACCACCGGTCAACGCGTAATTACTTTTCATTTTGACTTCACTTGTCAGTTGTCATAAGATACGTAACTAGTAACGTATTCTGCTAGTTCATATTATATGATATATTCTAATATTTTTGATATATTATTTACTATCACCCTAATTACATTAATGGGTTTATACATACAGAAATATTTATAGACAGTGAAAATATTAACTCCTTAAATGAAATTATTTCTTATTCATCATAATTATTTTCTGCCTGTTTGGTAACATCCAAATTTCACAACACAAAATAGGTTAAATATGATTTTATAAAGAAAATAGTATCATGATACATACCATCATCAATTAACTGCAAATAAATGATATTAAATATTCATTCCCAAAAAGTAGTAGAACCATTCATTGTATTTGTATTAAGTCAATGCGGAAGGTCAGCAAAATTCAATGCTCCAAACAATAACATTGTATTTACAAAAAAAAAAAAAAATTTACCACATTTTTATAGAAAATGAGGTGGCAAAAATAAAATTTATTATATTTATTTTTTATCACATTATTTTATAAGAAGATTTTTGTAAGATTTTTTTATTTTTTTTTATAAGTATAACATTATTTATATCTAAAATATTTTTAAAAAAAATTGATGTGAAATTGGTGGTGTGGCAGTCTGCCATCTCACTTTCTATTTATAAAGCCACAGTATCGACCTTCCTGGTATAAATACATAGGTAGTACATTCCTAGAAAATGTGAAGAGTAAAGAGAAAAAAAAAGATAGAGATCAAGAACCAGTGAAGGTTGTTTAGTAGCAGCCACCACCACAAAGTGTGAGCTGAAATTGCTGAGAAGCCGCTCGCTCACCCTTTCAAATTTTTAACATTTACATACAAACCCAAATCCATTCTCCATTCACTATTATGGCTTCCCTCACTCTTCCTTCTCCTTCACAAGCTTCCTCTTCTTCTTCTTCTTCTTCATTTTCTTCCTCTTTCTTACGTCGCTCTTCTCTCACCCATGCAACTCTCTCTTTTAATGAATCTCGCCGCCGAATTCATTTATCTAACGCCGTTGTAAGTTTACATGTCTTTTCTTTTAATTTTAAATATGGTTGAATAAACGGATGGTTTAATTGTTTTTCTTTTTTTTAATAACTTCTTTTACATATGATTATTATCTTTCTGTGACTGTGAGTCAGCAGTGTGTATGTTTCACACTACAAACCTTTCATTTTTGTTGTTATTATGCAATTATGGAATCTGGGTTTTGTTTGTTTTGAAGGAAAATATTTTTCGTTTGAAGGTAAATTTTTGTCTTGAAAATATGAACTTGGTTGGATTTCTTTCCCTTTAAATTAAATAATTTTGAAAATTTGTGCTCATTGTAATTTTTGTTTAATGTGGCAGAGATGTGACCTGTCTGAGCAATTGAGTTTTCCTAATGGAAAGCCAAATATTCCTATTCTTAATGAACGAACGCTGCCCAAATTTTTGGAATCAGCACGAATGGAGAAAACAGTCAGCAGAACTAATACCAGGCTAAAATTATTTTCTGGCACAGCGAATCCTGCACTTTCTCAGGTACTTAATTGCATTTCTGTATGCTTTAAGAATACTGTTTCTGGTTGCTCTTGTTTTAACGGTATTGGTGTTAGACAACTGTGAAAAGTAATTGTAGTTTGTTATTGCCTTGTATGGGGCTTATGTCGTTGGTGAATAATGAATTTAATGTGGGCCCATGAATCTATTTGGTTTCATTATAATGTCGGATCTCATTGAAATCGTGAAAGAAGTGATAAAAGTATTTTCAGTTCATGTACTAGCTGTTGTTATTGCAAACAAAGTTGCTAGTTTCCGCAATTAAGTGAATTTGGTTTAAACAATTTGGCAGAATGTACGAGGTCATTTCCTCTAATTATTTGTAAAGTGTGAATTGAATGAGTTTAGTTTTCCTTGTAGTTGTGTATTATGCATCAGTTTTGATGACCTTGTCTTTCCTTTCTAAGAGTTAACAAAACCGAGGAATTTTACACATCTGACTATCAACCTTTGTATTTATTGTATCCAAAAAGGTGATATTCATCTTCAAGTTTTAAACATGCAAACCACTAATTAAATCACTAAATCATCAAAAAATTTGGTCTCAGTAGACCCTATTACCTAATTTTTCAAATGGTGTGTCATTTTTGTCAAGATGCCATCGATTTTCATTGCTTATTATTTTTTTCAAAGTTATAAGAATCAGAAGCTCATACAGGGTATTCTATTCAATTCTGAGCGTGCTACACAGTAACACAGTATACATTGTTCTCATGTTTACATGTCATTCTCTCTTTTATAACCTTTTCTTGTAAGTTTCTTATAAAAGTTCCATCACATTCATTGTCTGAATACTCTCTGTTATTTTGCTCTAGGAAATTGCTTGGTACATGGGCTTGGAATTAGGAAAGATTAACATAAAGAGATTTGCTGATGGCGAAATTTATGTTCAGTTGCAAGAGAGTGTTAGAGGCTGTGATGTGTTTTTGGTGCAGCCCACGTGCCCTCCGGCTAATGAGAATCTCATGGAGCTTTTAATAATGATAGATGCTTGTAGGAGAGCGTCAGCCAAAAATATTACAGCTGTGATTCCTTATTTTGGATATGCTAGAGCTGATAGAAAGGCAAGTATTATCTACTGTCCACTTTAGATGAAGATAGCAGAATTTGGTAGGATCCTCATTCAGATGATGTCCTAATCAATTTGATCCGCGCTTCTGCTATTCTTTTCTTGCTTGTTTTTAAAAAAAAAAAATGGAAGAAAACAATTGGAGTGAGTAGTTTTCATCTCGTAATGAGCATTGAAAATGACATTGCAAATAATTGGTGGCAGTAACTTTGAGGTTGTATTTTAAGCATGACAAAAATCTTAGGAAATATTTGAATTGTTATGTGTAAAAACTTATTTCTTATCTATACCATATGCTGAGTATACTTATTCTTTAAAGACTCAAGGACGTGAATCTATTGCGGCCAAACTTGTTGCAAATCTTATCACAGAGGCAGGTGCAAACCGTGTTCTTGCCTGTGATCTTCATTCTGGGCAATCTATGGGTTACTTTGATATTCCAGTTGACCACGTATACTGTCAGGTACTAGTGCACATCTTTCATTGTTGAATCTTACTGATTTATTGTTCACTGAATAGCCAGAAAAAGGATGTTTTATCATCTACTGACAGTTGTATTATTGTAGCCTGTGATCCTTGATTACCTGGCAAGCAAGACGGTTCCTTCTAATGACTTGGTAGTAGTTTCACCTGATGTTGGTGGAGTCGCAAGAGCACGTGCTTTTGCAAAAAAGTTATCCGATGCACCTTTAGCCATTGTCGATAAAAGGCGTCATGGACATAATGTTGCAGAGGTAATTACTGCAGCACAATTCTTCTCACTTTATTTTTTCTCTACTTCTACATTTGCTATTTGTGTAAAATATTAGAAGTCAGTTCTAGTTCTCTTCGTTGCAATTCTCTTATTTTGCCCCTCATAGATTCTTTCACCCCTCAAAATCACCCTTTGCAAACTATACTAAAACTTATCTGGCTTCTTGGTTTGATAGTGTTTCTCAAACGTTGATGATAAAGTTTTTCAGTTTAATGTGAAGAACAGTACACTGAATTAATTTTTTAAATGGAATTGATATTTATCTATTTTTTGTGGGGATTAAAGACATGCCTAAGTTTAAGGGAAACTTGTGTCCATTTGTTCTTTATTCTTTAGTATTTGAGTATAATTTTTATGTACTCATTATGCCTAATGTTATCTTTCAGGTGATGAACCTGATTGGGGATGTAAGAGGAAAAGTTGCTGTAATGGTGGATGACATGATTGATACTGCTGGTTAGTAAAGTAAAGTTGATGCCAAACTAGATCTTAAATTTTTTTGGTTGTGCGGGAGGGGGTGACATGAGCATGAATTTCTCCGATCACTGTATTTGTGATGGGGCTGATGTGGAATATATTATGATGGTTGAACTTATGAGTCAGTTCAGTAGTATTTGTATTTTGGTTGAGTCGTTGGAGAACTTCTTGCAATTAATTTATTTACTTTTTGTTCTCTTAGTTCCTGGGTTATATATCGTTATAGTTATTGTATCTGTTCCTGAATAAATAACTTTTATGTCTAATGCTTTCAATGAAATTTTTGGTTATACCTGTTGCTTTTTGGATATGGAAAATTGTGTTTAACATCAAGGTTTTTGTGGGTCATAGGGACTATTGCAACAGGGGCAGCTCTTTTACATCAAGAAGGAGCTAGAGAAGTTTATGCTTGCTGCACGCATGCTGTTTTGAGGTACCAATTAAATTTGCAGCATTTGATAGCTTCTAATGATTTTCTAGAAGCATGGTAGGCACTTCAAGTATTATTGGACAGTTGCTTAAATCTCACTTGATTAACTTCACTGACTTTGAGCCTATTGGATCATCACTTTCTGAACAATTTGTATAGTTGAGGTTCTATTTATTCTGCTTAGAACTCAAGACTGAATAACTAGTGATTTAGCTGCATTTATGTTGAAAGCATGATAAAGGCTGCCTTTATCTTTTCAATTTTCTGTGGGAACTATTAGGAAACCCTCTGTGATTTTGCCTGTGGAGGCTCTAGTTTGATCCTGACTGAAGTTGCAGTCTAGTACTGGCTTCCAACTCTGCCCTGAGATATGCTTAAGACCATCATGTTGGTGTTTGTTTCGTCTTTGGGTGGAAGTTAGAGGATATTCCATTAAATTGATACTTTCTAGTCCTGGTTTGATTTTTATGTATAAGCTATAAAAAATGCCATTAGTTGGTGTTGGTTCCACCCAAGCTGGTATTGGTAGGATGATCTTGAAATCTGATAACAGTCAGACACATATCTATGGACTTGATATCTTTTATCAGTCAAATTCATATTTATGCAAATTCTATAGTTTTGAGATGTATGGTTGATTATACACTTTTTATATAGATATATTTGCGGTGGAGATATTATATAATGAATTTACATATTCTTCTGTCACAGCCCTCCTGCAATAGAGAGGTTGTCCGGTGGTTTGTTTCAAGAGGTGATAATTACAAACACGCTTCCATTAGCAGATCAGAACTACTTCCCGGAATTGACAGTACTTTCAGTAGCAAACTTATTGGGGGAAACCATATGGCGTATTCATGATGATTGTTCCGTTAGTAGCATTTTTCAGTGATGAAGGATAGCTCCTTCTAAATATTATACAGGTCTTTAGACATATAACCTAATCTTGGGTATATCAAAACGGAGATATACAATTTCTCATTTCATTTCCTCCGAATGCTTTTTAACCATAGAATTTTTATTTTGGTTTATTTCACCCCCCTTTTTTTTTTCTCTTTATACATTTTTTCTTGGTCTTATTACTAAGATATTTAGTTTGCGCAAGATGAATTGCTATCTGTTTGGCTAGTATTGCCATGTAATCTCCCTTCTAAAAGAAAAAAAAAATTATATATATATAGAGTTAGTGAAAACCTTTTAGCCCATGTTTTTTATTTTCCTGTTGATTGATGGTTACACTGTTGAACTTGCCAACTAACCTTTGAATTTTTTCTTCCATTTTGTGTTTGTGTGGCGATCTTCTTTTGCTACATACAGATTATGTATTATAAATTTTTAACATCCATTTGATGAATTATTTTTAAGAAAGTAAAAGTGGAAGCAATTGTCGTTGGAGGTTAAATTTATTCTTGGAATAATTTGTTTTACTAATTTCTCTTTACAAAATAAAGACTTAAACTTACTTTAAACTTTTTAAGTAACCAGTGGTTATAGTTATTATACTTGTACTTCAAAATAAAGACTTGTTACTAACCACCATTGAAATATCTATTATACTTATTTATATAAAAAAATTAAAATAGTGAATTTAAAGTTATAAGTTTATTCAATTCTATGATTATATTCAAAATTTATTTTATATTTAAAAGTTGTTAGAGAAGATTTTGTTGGAATTTTCGAAATAAGAAGTCACTGATAATTATCCATTTATATCAGGCCGCGTGAAAAAAATTAAAAAAAAAATATATATATATATATATATATATATATATATTCTTTTTTAAGGATTTAGTATTAGGGTTTCTGAATGTACGCACCACGCAGGGCGGCTCGCTTCTTTAAAAGCCCTTGTTGTCGCCCCCATTAGTCGTCTCTCACCCTCTGTCTACATTTTCAATTTCTCTTCAACACGTTCTAGTTATTGCTCAAAGAGCTATCTGTTTCTGCCATGAATTTTGTTTTTTCGAATTTTTAGAAAAGTCATGCTGTGATGAAATCTCTGCTGTGTACCGTAGACGGATCTCTATTGGATCTGTCGGTGACGGTAACACATCCCTCTAAGAAGTTCTGAGCTGACCCTTTTGTCTGTAACTTCATGTTTTGCTTGTACTTTGGTTTTGATTATGATATCGACTTTTTCTGTTTTGATTGTGTATCGGGTTTTCTTGTGTTTCATTGGAGGGGAAAAGCGAGGTGACGATAGAAATTCATTAGTCTGTCAATCCACTGAACTACGGTGTGATGTTACTGTGAATCCCGACAGGTTCTGATCGCTTTATTTTAATCCCTCTTAATCCCACAAATCTACCTATCTGGAAAGATCACTAGTGTCAATAATTGTTTTAGAGTTGATGGTAGTATGCTTTTTTATGGTTAATATATGGTGGGCAAGGGCAACTGATGAATCTCATATTATATAATGGGTAATTTGCGTCTGAAACTTTTCATTGATGCTATATCACCTTGGAGAACTGATGCCCGTATGCTACTTTCATATTTTGAATTTTTTTATTGAACTTTTTCACTTGTGTCTTGTGTGCAAGGATTGAGCTGCTTACAATAACAATTGATTGGATTTGTTTGTTCGTGGCACATACTTTTTGTTCAAAGAATTGAATGCTGATCCTATCTTAATCCCTGTAACTCCAATAAACTTGATTGGATATGGAAAAGAAAATCAATCTTCTTTTAGGTAGTTGAAATTCTGGACGAATTAGCTCCGGACTGATTAGTTGTGCTAAGACCAGTGATGATTTTTTGGTGAGATGTCTGATTTGTGAGAGCATGGTATTTGGGGCTGTAAAGAATTTGGCAAGTGATGAATGCTAATACAACTAATGGGTAATTTGCGTCTGAAATATTTGATTGATGCTAACACCTTGTATATCTGATGCCTTATTCTTTAACTATGTCGTCTGAAATTTTCCTAGTTCTTCCTATGATTTATAGGATAATATTCTAAAGTCATATATTAAGCTGAATATATGAATGGGATGAAATTGACGTGTGTACTGAAGTCATATTTTAATTGAACAAAGATCAACTTTTGACTGTTTCAATGTATTTATAAAATGCAATAGGTGTATCGTACATATAGATTTAAAATAACAAGAGAAATTGCAATCAGCCAGCCAGCCCTATTTCAGATTTGAAGTTTCAGGTGGCCCAATAAGTTCTTACCATCAAGTTTGCTGGCTACCATGAGTCTTATAAATTCCTCATTTGCAATACTCTTGTAAACAGCTTTGTCTTTTACTAGTTCTGGCAAAGGACCTAAGATTGTCTTCGTACTTGGACCATGAAATGCTGCTATTGAAAGGCGTTCCTTTTCTTGGTTCACAACAGCTCTGTGCTCTATACTCTTGTATACTCCATTGCTCATAATCTGCTTCAAGAAGAATGCAGTTAATTCTCTTTTACCAGGGTTGAAATTAAAGTCAATGTATTATGAGATTGGTATATAATTTACCTCAATGATGTCGCCGACGTTGATAATGAACGCACCTGGGATAGGTGTAATCGGTACCCATTTATCATTTTTCTTTATTTGTAAGCCCTGAACTTCGTTCACTTGGATCAACAGGGTCAATCCAGTGGCATCAGAGTGTGTTGTTAGACCCATAACCTTGTCTGCCTCTACACAAGGTGGATAGTAGTTCATTCTTACCCCTTGTGTTCCACCTTCAAACAGGCTTGTAAGTTTCTCGGATTCAACCCCCAAATTTTTTGCCATAAACTTTAACAGACAAATTGTAACCTCTTGTAGCTGTGAAGAGTATTTATCCAGGGTTGCTCTAATATAAAGTAAAATGATAAACAGATACATATATCAGATTGTTGGCAGAATTTTGAGCTGCTAGAAGTTAAAAGAGCTCTGAAGAATAAATTAGGTGTCATTGATTTTACCTGAAAGACCTAGGAATTGTAGGCCAAAGTTTGGTATTTCTTAAAGAAAGTGGTTGTGCAATAAGAAAGAACATGTCGCCCCAATCTAGCTTCTGCTCATCGGATAAAACAAAAGCTTGGCCATAACCTTCTATGTTATTTGGCTGCTGAGCATATACCATCTTATCTTCCAATGGCAAACTAAAGAACTCGGCTATGTCGATCTTCATTATCTCAATTACTTCTTCTAATATCCCATGATTTATCAACTGTACTACATTATTTATCTCAGTTTAGTAGTTTTATATAAAAAAAAGGTTATTGATATCAGCAAATAACGAAAAATATAATACCTGGAAGAAGCCCCAGTCTTTGCAAGCCAAATGAAGTTTCATTAACTCGTCCTCATCCACAAGCTTGCTCATGTCTATGACAGGAATTTGAAGAGATTCATCAATGAGAACTTGTTCGGACTGACGTTCTGGTCGGATGTAGCGAGATGGAATGTGGTTCAAGTCATTAGAAGCAAGAGATTGGACATTTTCAACTGGTAGGGAACCACCGAAGTCGTTTCCCATTTCACTGATCACTGTCCACAATTCTTTTCTGGGATCTGGTATCTCTTTGTTCTATAGACACTACATAAATTATATATGGATCTTTGGATGATGCCTTGATTGGGCGGCAGTTGGCAGTGTCTTGTGAAAGTTTTGTGTCCATTGCTAAGGGAATCAGAGACTTCCCTTGTCCAATATCGTCAATATCAAAGCCCAATGAGCAAATATGTAATGGTAAGTTGTCTACGTCAATCAAAAACTGATTAAGACTACAAAACAATATCGACTCTCAGATGACCAAATGGCCTCAAGCCGTCTTGTATACGTCTTCAAATGCTATAAAACACACAATAAACACCAATGAGTAATGGAAAAAGTTAATTGAATTGGTCATTCAAACCGCTCTTCCGTTATTTAAATGTCTGTGACGTATGTTTTAAGCACTTGTCTCTAAATCAAGTATAAATACTAGCTTTGTTTTTTCGGCAACCGCAAGGAAGAATAAAGTTTCTCGAACCTGTAGCTTATGAGGCTGTTATAAATTATAATCAAAAGCCCATAAACTTGTATTAATTTGTTAATATACAATATGTAGAATAGATTACTTTAGGTACAGTATCTTACTGCACAGGTAACATTACCAGCTCCTTGTAACCAGGAATAAGAAATAAAAATTAGAGAATACAATTACATAAATACTGTTTGGAGAAAATTTATTTCACAACCTAGGTATTGATAAACCTACAGTTCTTCCTAATTTCTCCTTCGTGTCCAGTGAGTACATTAATGTTGCCCATCTTGATGATAGAATTGACATATTTAGCAAAGAAAAGGTCTTGATCAGCTGCATAAGCCCACACCTGCTTTATTATCTCTCCTTCATGGTCTTGAGTAACGAAAGTATTATCAGAAAATAACAATCCTCTCCCTTGCAGAAGGTTAATATAATAATGGTTGTCAAACCTTGTTGGAGTGGTATAATCAAGAGGTGTGAGTTGATTATCGTTTCCTGATTCTGGGCATATGGACTCTAGGATTCTTCTAAAAGTTCTATATCTTTTGTATTTATCATATCGTTCTTCCATGGTGATGTCGTAGATTCTTTGCCTGAAGCTCAAACATCTTGCCCTCCCCATTGTGTGGCTACCTGTTGCAATGCCAAAACAAATTTTACTAATGCATTCAGTTAATCATCCCCATTGTTAGATATTGTAAGCATTGAAAATTGCTAATACTTTAGTTAATTAAGAAATTTTCCATGAGTAGTTGTTTGTTGTTGACCTGACAAAGTAACCAAATCTCGAATGTCAAGGCCTTGCACTTTAAAATTTTCAATAAGAATTTCGAGGGAGGAATTTGGCGAAGGAATGTACAGGTTGGCACCATCGAAGCTTGCTTTCAGTGAGTCTCTTCTGCCAAGAGGAACCCCCCATGTTGGTCCACCTCTCTGATATCCAGAACAAAAAAATTTATATATCTATCTTGTGAATTGCCTTTACAAAAATAAAAATTATATAAGATACAGAGAAGAATGAAAGATTAATTGTAGCCTCTACCAATGAATCATGACATTTAAAATTAAGATGACAGAACAGAAGTACTTGAGAAAGATGGAGAAGAAGTTTAAATAAACACATACCAAAACAACGGAATCACGTGCAGCCAAAGCTAGAATATCAGCACATGAGACTGTATATGGACATGCTTCTTCCAAATTATACTTGATCTTATCAATAACTTCGAATCCACGCAGAGAGTTAAAGTTAGGCCCTGCAAGCTTTTCACTCACCATTGCCCCATAGCTGTCAAGAAGAACCGATCCATCGCAACCCTATAACAGAAACTCCACAAAATCAACATAACTTACACCCGATACTTTGATATATTTATTAAAATAATTATAATGGAGAGTGAGATCGAGATAGATAACCATGACAAAGCAATCATGAAAATGTAAGCGAACGAGTGAGGCGGCCATTCGAGGATCTTTGAGCACCGCATTCTCAACATTACGTCTCACGATCTCTTCTGCTAAGGGGCACGTCTCTTTGTAGTAATCAAGAAAAAGAAGATCATCACTCAAAGTATTCGTTCCACGCAAAACAAACAATAGAATCATGATGATAAAGAATGCCCTTGAGATCTCCATTGGTGATGGTGATGATGATGGTGAGATACAATTAATATCAAGAACAGAAATTAATGCATGTGAAAATTAATGTATAAGATGTGGTTCATGTTTGAGTGTGTATGCATGGTGAAGAAGAATATCAGAACTAAATCTCTATTATTATAAGGTACAGACCTTGAAAATGATGTTTTCTTGTTCCGTTTTTTAATCTTAAATTTTTAAAACCAACTTATCTTAAACAAATCCTTTTGATTTTGGGTTTTAATCAAAGCTGATGCAACTAACTCAACCTAACTAAATAAAAAAAGAACGTAAGGACAAATGGAATAATAAATACGTTATAGTTTCTTACAAATGCAGGTCCTATCGGCATGTTTGAATCTTTGGATTGGCATCGATTTTCTCACCTGAATTTGGACGACGGTGTTATGCTTTAATAACCAAAAAATATGTTTAACAAATGGTTCCCTCATAGTCATAAGTGGGTAAGTAGTTGTTGAAACTTTAAAGCCATTACGTCTTTCCCTTCCAGTATAAGGATATATATATATATATACACACACACACGGGGAAAAGAATAGGCCGTCATCATTACAGACCCAAAAAATCAAGAAAAATTCGGACAAGTAAACCAAATATATGCAGGAACTTTTACAATTGTCAATATATAGACCCAGAATAAATCTCGACCAAAAAAAGCAAAATTTGGGTAAATATTAATCTCCTCCCACGAGGTTTATGATAACACATACTGGTACCCCGAGGTTTCATCGTGAAAAAAATAAAAAATGAAAGGAAGAGATCAGTTGGTATGCTCTATACATTCACCGTTAAGAAGTATATGGCACATTTCTTTATCTATTTTACTCATTGATTATACACAGTCACCACATATTATATGACTCAAGACTTTACAAATTACTCCTTGTCCAATTAAGCTATTATACAGTAAAAATTTTCTATAGTGATACTTTATATAGGAATAAACTCTAGATAGTCATAAAAAATTATAATCCCAATTTGGGATAGTTATAAATAAAAATAAACTCTACATTGTCATAAGTTATAATTTTTCTAATTCGCACCTTAAGGAAAATTACCTCTACATAGTAATAATTATCTGTATATTTTAAAAAAATATATGTTATTTTACATTAAATGTTTAAGATGAAATAAAATATTTATCTAAAGTTGTTTGGGACAATGATTTATACTTTAGAGTTATTACTACATCTTTTATCTTGCGAGTACGTAATAACTCGCTAGCATAGACACTTTCTCATGAAAGCCAAAATATTTTTATCTTCTCAAGCATGTTTAGAGCTTCATGACACAAAATTTTTTGTATTTCCGTACTATGATCCTTAGGATTATTTCATTTCTCTTGTCTAATTGCATGATTTCTTCTTTGGTTAAAGTATACACGATTTGTTGTTCATTTCGATAATCGAGATAGACATTAATATCCATTCGATTAGTGTATTGAAGTTGTCGAATCTGATCACTCAATTCTGTAATGACTCTTTTATTCTCGTCATTCACTTCATTTGTAACTTACAATTCATCGATATTGGGGGTCTTAATTTTGTTGTCCTTAAAACCATTGACAATTGTTTGTGGCTTCACATCAATTAACCATGCATTAACTGCATTTACGGTTCCATCAATGACACTTATCTTTACTGGTTCCAAGACACGATCTTCTATCCGTTTCAAAAGTAAACAATTGAAATGCTGAATTGAAATCCTAATACTACTCAAATATGAATCGAAATCCTAATACTGTACTACTAAAACATGAATTATAAAATAAGAAATCAAAACAATAATTTTTGTAACTACACCTCCATTAAATTATAATCTCTTCATAATAATAAAATTAATTAGTCCTACCATTATGATTATAGAGAGGTTTTACTGTATATGTCAAGGCAAAAAGTCTTGTACATTAATTCTCTTATGCTGTCATGATATTATTCGTGCCTGATGCCTGAAGGCAGTATTTTTTTTTTTCTTTTTTTTTTTTTTTTTTTTTTGTAACTAAGATGTCTAGACTAATTTATATACACTTTGACTAATCTTAAAGGGACTAAATGCAGTATCTTGAAACTCATACTTCAAATAATTAATATCAGTCCTCTATAATCTCAGTGAATCGACTTCATAATTACCCTGCTTGAAAGAAAAACTGTGTTTTATCATATTTGGTCAACAACTAGCAAAGTATAATAACCAACTATTTTACAAAGAAGCACCATCTATATATACCTCTCATAAAAAATGCGGTTCACCCTTTTCAACCACACAAGAAAGATCAACATTCATGGCAGTTTGAAATTTGGGAATGTAAAATAAGTTTGAGATTAATGAGCAACTCGAAATTGATAATTTTTTGGTTCTATTAATAATTGTGATCTGCATAATGCATTATGGGTGGTGGAATGCTTGTTTTCCGTTCACCTAATTAAATGATCACAACTGAACCATCCTCTAAACTTGTTGAAAATGGTTCGACGTTATGACTGTGTATGTAGAAAATATTGCTTAGCGATGTATGCAATTAGTTCATAATATGATTTGGTGATTGAAATAATGTTTCAGAATTTAGCAGTGGAGAGAATGTAAAATTATTTTGAAATAAAATAATATGAGTCATTCATACAAATTTTGAGCACTTTGACAAAAAGATTGATGTATACAATATGCAAACTATTTTCTTTTTACTGACTGTGTGGAGTCTCTACATTGTCACAAACACAAACACATTCGAGCTTGAATACCAGGAAACTGCTAAAAAAATTCCCCGTCTTCATCAAGGAAAATCTCAGGATGTACTGCTGCAGTACTGACATTGAGTGCCCTTTGCAGCTTGCAATGGTCCAACACTTCAACTTCAACCAAGAACATGGAACTAACTGGCCGATGATCTGACAGCCTTATTTCTGATCGCTTGTATGAAAGTTGTTTCATGCGTTTTCCTAACCAAAGTATACGATCACACCTGCACACCAAGTGCATAAATTACTTGTTTATTAAGGTTTAAAGATATACGAAGATGAGAAATTAAAAAGGCAGTTAGCTATGTAAAGTTTTTCAGTAATAGATTCCATAATCCTAGAGGAAAGTTTAATATGTGTGCTATACCATGCCGGAGATCTCTTCTTCTCCCCTTCTTTTGGGTTCTCACCAACGTATCTATCCGTGTTTATTTCATACTTGTAAGTGGGAGGAAAGTTTATTACCCCCTCTTTCCATCCATCAAAAACATGCCCACTGCTTAGTTCTTTGCTTAGCTGCCACATAAAAAATCAAATAATTTCAGGCAAAATATTCATTATGCTTGTGCATCATATTTGTTTCGAAATATCATCCACTAACAAGAAAATTATTTGGTCAATCCCAAAAAATCTCACCTGATCACTGTTGATAAGTTCATCCCATCGCTTCTGTGCAACAAGCTTCCGCACCTCAGCATCCACCATGTTGAGACGATAGTTCAAATCCCCGAACCAGAATATCTGACTGTTAACAGTAGGACCAAATTTTAAATAAATGTTCTATGCAAATTATAGAGATACAATCAAATAATAGAGCAATTACATAGCTAAATGGGGCAGTTGAAACTTAAATGGCAAAATATTACTTACTCATGAGAACGAATGGTCTGTGGTTGATCTGTATGATCAAAGACAGATGAGAAACGGGTCCGCCGAATAATTTCGTATACATCAGAGTTGCGCCTTTGTTCAGCACCATCCTTCTGACCAGAAGTCAAATGCGAACAAACAAAGCACATCCGTGATTGGAAGAGCGACATACTAACTGAAACAGAGCCCTGCATCAGCAACTTCTCTTTAGACATTCAATTCCAACAGAGCAGCTAATTGACTTATGTTGAAGCCAATTACATTGTGACACATCACATTAAAGAGACATGTTTCAACTTCTCGTTTCTATGTTTATAGCATGAAAGAACAAGCTCTTACCTTGTTTCCCATGTAGCCCATAAGGCCAACTCCAACGGGAGAGACCTGTAGATTGTTTATATGTCTCCTCAACCGCTTACGCACCCAAATTGATACGTATATCCCAACCATCTGCTTGCTGACAATTCGCACATATTTACGACGCTTCACAGCACCACTGATGACTCCATTATCAAGTTGCTCCTTATATGCTTCACAGAAGGTATCAGCTTCCTCATCAGAACCCTCATCAGATATTTCAGATAGACCATCAACTTCAGGTTCCTCTTGCTGTTCCATCCAGGCTGAGTGTAATAGGTTTCCAGAGCTATGGTACGATCTTTTTAGTCTACTTCCATTCAATGCAAAATTTTGAGGGCTAAATACCGGAGGATTCTCTATACAATCAAAGCCAATTCTAGCAGAACTGCTCAATATTCTCCGCAATTTCGAATTGGAAGAGACAACCTGAGGATTTGCATCTAATGAATGCTCAGGCCAGTCCAGTCTACTGTCACAATCGATCCCATATAATCTTCTTAAATGTAAATTTTTTCCAATACCAATAGCTTTATTCAAATCTTCGCCTTTATAGTCAGAATCTGCAATACTGGCAAATTCCTCGCAAGTAATCCCCAGTGGCAGATCATCCATCTCATCTGCGAGTACATCAGCAACAGAAGAAGTTCTTAATACTGGAGAAGGTGGGGCACTATAGCTTTTGTGTTTCCTTTCAGATTCCGAAGATTTGTTCAGAGTTTTGCGGATGATTGCCTCCCATTTTCGAATTGGCCTACTACTCTCTGCTCCCAGCACATTCCCAGCATTCAAAGGGACTACCTCTTGGAAGCTGCAAAAGGCAGACATCAACATGATATTACAGTCTGATATGTAAAAAATACATCATCTTAGCAGACAAGGGTCTTTTCATAACTGAAAACCTGACCATTGTACACAGACAAGCAGATGGCAACACTATAATATAGTTAACACAGTCTTATAACAATTACAAGCTGCGACAGTCCAGAAAATATGTAGGTAAACAGTTTAAAAGTAGGAAGCGCAACACCTAGTGTCAATGTCCATTACTTTTTATCTAGAATATATGCATAAGCTTGTCCATTTAAAATGTAATTTATGAGGAAATAGAACTATTTAATCCATTAATTGTGTACGTATACTTTTATCTACGTACATGATACTATAGACTTAAAAGAATTTCACATAAAGGAATATGATTAAAAATACTGAAACTTGAATAAGATGCTGATCTATAAACAGACAGAACGATAGCCACAACTACAGAAATAGACAAGGCACACACTCTGGCCAAGAGGAAGAAAGGGATGGACATAGGGACGGCAAAATATTTTCCTTAGGCATTAAACTCATTGGTTACATGACCATATGAATTTTTTAGAGAACAAATCAAGAAGAGTATATAGAAGTTGGAATAATGTGGGATCAACCAATGTAAGAGTGATTTACCCAATAATGTAAATATCTGCTGGCTCTTGTGTACAAAGCCAATCATCAATATCAAGATCTTCATAAGGAACTCTTCCAGCAACATTCCAAGTGCCTATCGTCACCCTACAGATGACCAAATATCAAACATGATTTTTTGTCAGAAGCGGGTAGTAGGAATTCAGCCTAATATTTTTATCACAGAAAGTTTGAAGACAATAAGACAAACCTCACATCCTTCGTATTTATGTATTGAGCACGCAGTGTTTCTGATTTCCCTCTCCTGTGCCTTAACTGATAGCCCATAGTAGGTGTATCTGGACCAATAGAACATCAAAACATTAAAAATGATTTCAGACTGGCATGTGGCTAAGTTCAAAGCATTAAACTATTTAGAAGATTATTTTCAAAATTATCAGGCAGTTTAACCCTCAAGGTCACAAGACTCAATTTAGAACCAAAAAAAAGTATTTAGAAACTGAAATCGTCTAACACTTCAGTAACAATTTCAATAGCGCATTTCAAAAAATTGAAGGATCAAGACCAAAGGTGTTTCAAAGCTTGCTTCATTTCTTACTTAAATTTGATGTTTTTCTTCCTATTTCTTCATACTATCCCAAATATACAGATTAGACCCAAGGCCAGTCCAGAGAAACATCAACAAAAACAATATTTCACACAAACTTTAGGCCAAGATAATTTTCTTCTGAATAAAGGAGTAGATTTTTCAACAGTTAGTTATGAAATAACTAATTCAGAACTAATTGTTTAAAATGAAAAACAGTACAAGTTTAGAACTGGCGAAAATTATTTGATGATGATTTAGTAGAGAAGGTGTTGAAGCACTTATAAAAATGTTCATGGGGATAGTTGGATGATAAAAATTAAGAAGCTGCAAAAAGATGGCCAGGAGAAAAGGCAAAAGAATTTTGATGATAGTGTAGACAAAAATAAATATGTTTTAGGCTTAAACAGAACATAAAGAGAGAATTTATTTTTTTTATTTTTAACACCAAAATAGTGATTTTAGTATGCAACTATTGCCTGGAATTCGAGTTCCACAATCTGACTGGTTCCCCTGAGTTTTACGGGCATGATCCTCACATATGTGCTCTCTTGAATCTTTAAGAGAGCAAGCTGAAAAGAAAAATAGAAAGAAAAACTGTATCAACAACAGACGGTATAAGAGATAAATAGTTCAAGTAAACATTAGATAGTCATATACCATCATCTTCACTTTCAGTTTCCGTGTCAACCTCATCTTCACTAAAATCATACACCTTTGGCTGTATATTTAACCACTTCTTCATAACAATGGAAGGCCAAAAGGCCTGCCGTCAAAAGCAATCATCAAGTTAATCTGACTAATATTTTCCTTCAAATCAGAACAGAACAATAAAGAGCACAAAAACACACCTCAGAACGCTTTCCTCTCCTTGTTTTCATTGTGTCAAGATCAAGAACTTTGAATAGAACCCCGAATTAGAACAGCAATCTTTCGAAACACAGGTGCTTATATACGGAAGCAGGAAAAAGAATCTGACTCTCACTGTTCAAAGGATTCATATTTATATAAGAGGCTTGAAAAGCATTACAAACACGGTCTGTAGTGGGACACTGTTTGGTGCCAAATACAAGGAAGATTCATAATATATGACCAAATAGAAAGGACAGAAAAGCTATGACCATATTCAACAGACATCCACAACCGCAACTTGCCCAAATATAAAAAACGTATACTCAATGGTCCTCCACCCGCGTCTAAATTTTCTCATACAAATACAGCATAGATGGCTTGATATATGTTGAAAAAACAAAACCATAAAAATTCAAGATGTCACTCTCATCCAAAGAATTTTATAGTCTTGAAATCAATTTAGGCTATAACCATTACTTTCAGCTGGGCAGTAGACAAGATAAGCTGTTGACAGAAATGTTTGAAAATGGAGTAGAGAACAATTTGTATGCAAAAAGAAATAAAACGAAAACAACCCAAAACACAAAAAACCCAGAAGCTGATTACACCTTAGAATCAAGAAAAACCCAACTGGGGATTTAAAATCATTCATATTTAACAACCCAATTAAGTAGTGGCATTATATAAATAAACAATCCCGCCCACCACAAATTTAAAAACAAATTTAGGAACTTGCACAAAGATATAGAAGCGAAAGACAAATACTGATTAAGACGTGTGAGTGCATTCTATGCAACAATGGCAAGAAATAATGACATAAAATAATAGTAATGATAAAGGATGATGATAGCCATCACAGCCAAGATTTGGTTAGACCCCACCCGTTTTATTTGGCTCAGCCTGAAATATGTAACAGCCAACCTAAACTGTTGAAACTTGATAATAAAAAATTTGGAAGTAGAAGTCAAATGGGTAATTAGAAAGTAAGCAAAAAAAAATAATTTCACTCAAGACAGCTTTAGAGAGCGAAGATTGGGCAGACGGTAGCATATACATAATACAAACATGCATATATAATATCAAAATAAAATTCATGAAAATGGAGCAAACTGGGGACCCTGAAGATGGGGTCAACGCGCACACTACGTGAAGATAAGCGACTCTTTGGCTTCAACTGAAAATGAACTTCTTTATTATTATAATTGTGTTTTAGAATATGATTTTATTACAACCATGCAACTAATCAATGGAAAGGTAAAGGTGGGTAAGATTTTTTATTTCTGTTATAACAAACAAATTATAATAATATAATCAAATTTATAAAGTTTAAATATGCAATTATTACCACAAAGAGAAGAATGAAATGAGCCAAAAACATTACATTTGTTTTAGAAGTAAGTGGCATGGCTTTTGACTTTAAAGTATTTAGTATTAAAACCAAATAAATAATGAAGGAAGTGTCAGGTTAAAATGGAGTGTTGAAAAAGAAGTATTACTTCTAGAAGACTGAGTGGTTCAATAAAGACTCTTGGGTATATTACTTAGTAAAGGCAAGACAACTTTCAAGGGTGCAAATCAAAGGACTTCCATATCAATTTGTAAAAGTGCAACCATGCATATTTTTAGTTACTCAGTGTTTTGAATGGTGCCCACTCACCCAAAAGTTGAAGGGATAAAAGATGAACTCTTTACAATCAAAAGATAAGGCATGCAATGACCTGGAGATGCAATGCCATTGAAATGAAATATTGTATAATATATATATAAAGGCAAAATGCAGTTAATCAACATCTCTCTCAAATTGACCACTATTCCACAATTTGCTATTAAGTTTGTTATCTTTAACTAAAAGTAACCCTAGATTACTACTATTATCACCAAAGCATGCATATCTTTGGTTTTAGATAAAGTTTTCAAACATGATAGAGGATTGAAAAGCAAAGAACAAACAAAATAGAACAATTTCCTTGACTTGGACTTTTAATTAATTATTGCTATTTTTTTGAAAATAAAATTTGGAAGTATATATGAAAAATGGGATATGTAAAGGACACAGCTGTTTATCACAAAGCAGCCCAGCAGCAAAACACTTTCTGGGCACAGCCTCAAAGTCAGACGTTAATTTAGATATGCATTTGCCTAGTGTCTTCCATACACCAAGTTGATGCGTATATGGATTGGCAATATCTCTTACTTAAATACAACTACCAGGATTACATAACTTTAAGATATCATATTTTACTGTCAATTCCATTACTTAATATACACTAGTTAACTCCCTTCAATATTATAAATTAAAACAAGTGTGAAGAGTTATTGGCATGAGAAATATAGTATTTATTTGGGGTAGGAAGTATAAATACCTTATACGGCAATAATGTTAAATTCTTATAGTTAGCTAGAAATGTAGCAGTTTGTCAACTTGTTTTGAATCTGTTCTGGCACCAAAGTGTATTGCAATCTGCCGTCTGGCAAATTTGTGTGGCAGCCTTGTTTGATTCATTTTGTAATGGTTTAGATTTGTACTGCCAGGTTATATGGGATGTGTCTATAATGTTTGTTGTAAGTTGGTATTAATGTATGGCTTTAGATTAATGTTGGATAAAATATGTCTGCAAAGTGGTTGTCAACAGTAAACTTTTGCTTTATTGGTTTTGATGTAAAACTCAGTTGGTAATGTAGAAAATATTACTTTTCATTTTTCTCAGTTGCTCTCTTTCTTTTCTTTGCATTCTCCGGCATTAGCAACAACAAAATTGTATCAGAGCTTGGTTACTTGAGCTGAAAAAATCTGAACCTTTTCCTTCTCTTGAAACAGCTTATCTATCTCTCTGGAAAACCGTCTTGCATCAGACCTGTTTTCTTGAATCAATGGCCACTCAGACAGCTTATCTTCTACCTCCTGTATTTAATGGTGAGCATTACCATATATGGGCATTCAAAATGAAGGCATATCTGAGGGGTCAAGGACTCTGGCAGTATGTAGAGGAGGAGAAACAACCCCCTCAGTTGGGACCAAATCCCACACTCAACCAAATCTGGTTGCATGAAGAAGAAGCTTCAAAGGCTCCAAGAGCCTTGGCCCATATTCATTCAGTTGTCACAGACCTTGTTTTTACAAGGATCATGACATGCGAAACAGCAAAAGAATCATGGGACAAGTTGAGAGAGGAGTTCATGGGGAGTGACACTACAAGAAACATGTAGGTGCTGAATTTGAGAAGGGAATTTGAGACATTGAGAATGTAGGAGACTGAGAAAGTGAAGGAATATGTTGACAGGTTGATGAATATAGTCAACAAAATCAGGTTGCCTGGAATGGAGATGACAGATAAAAGAATAGTGGAGAATGTGATAGTAAGCTTGCCAGAAAGGTTTGAAGCAAAAATCTCCTCTTTGGAGGACTCAAAAGACCTGACTCAAATCACTTTGACTGAGCTGGTCCATGCTCTGTAGGCACAAGAGTAGAGAAGGCTCCTAAGGCTAGAAGATGCGAGTTAATGGGCAATGTTAGCAGCTCACAAGGGTAAGTCTGCACAAGGAAATAACAGAAGGTTTGCTAGAGATAAGAAAGGAAAAGAAAGGTCCAATATTCAGTGGAACAAAGCTAGTGGAATGAAGAATTTTCCAGCTTGTTCTCACTGCTAAAAGAAGGGACATGCGGGGAATAGATGTTGGTTCAGGCCAGGAATACAATGTAGGGCCTACAAACAATTTGGCCACATCAAAAGAGTTTGCAAAAACAAGGGAGAGCAGCCCTAACAACAAGCTCAAACAGCTGATGAACAACATCCAGGCCAAGAGACAGAGCAGTTATTTGTGGCCTCATCCAGTTTGATCCAAGCGTGTGATGAAACTTGGTTGATTGACAGTGGATGTACACATCACATGACACCAAATTTGCATAGTTTTGTGAACCTGGATCACTCACAACGGTCAAGGATCAAAGTGGGAAATGGAGAGTTTGTGGAAGCAAAAGGGAAATGAGATGTTGCTGTCCAGACACCAAAAGGTATGAAGTTAATCTCTAATATACTTTATGCACCTGATATAAGTCAAAGTCTCCTTAGTGTGGGACAAATGCTGGAAAAGGATTATGCATTGCATTTTCAAAATCAATCTTGCATAATCCTAGACAGTGAGGGAAATGAAATTATGAGAGTAAGAATGGTGGGGATGAGTTTTCCAATCATGTGGAGAATTACTCCACACAAAGCATGTAATGCTAGAGAAGATGAAACTGAGATATGGCATAAGAGATTAGGCCATGTACATTATAGAAGTCTAAGGGAGATTCAGTCAAAAAACTTAGTTCAGAATCTGGCCATTGTTGAAGAATCAAAAGCAGTCTGCCAAGCATGTCAATTAGGCAAGATAAGTAGAAAAACTTTTCCAATGAATCAAGCCTAGAGAGCCTTTGAAAAACTTCAGCTTGCTCACTCGGATGTGTGTGGCCCCATGCAAACCTTATCCCTAAATGAAAGTGGATATTTTGTATTGTTCATAGATGATGGGTCTAGAATGTGTTGGGTTTACTTTCTAAGGCAGAAAAATGAGGTGGCTGGAGTATTCAAGAAGTTCAAACAGCTGGTGGAAAACCAAACAGGAAAGACTATCAAAACCTTGAGAAGTGACAATGGTACTGAAAACACTTCTCAAGAGTTTGAAATGATCTGCAAGGAGACTGGAATCAGACATCAATTCAGCAACCCTTATACTCCACAACAGAATGGAGTTAGTGAAAGGAGAAGCAAGATTGTTATGGAGATGGCAAGACGTATGATGGTTGAGAAAAGGACTTTCGAAATCCTTCTGGGTAGAGGCTGTCAACACAGGGGGCACTTGCTCAACGGACTTCCCACTAGAGCTTTGATCAGTCAAACACCATTTGAAGCCTGGACGGAGTCAAGCCAGCAGTGGATAATCTGAAAATTTTCGGAAGCATATGCTATGTTTGGTACCACCTGCAAAAAGAACAAAGCTGGAGGATAAGGCTTTGATAAGAATTTTTATTGGTTGCAGTAGCCATCCAAAGCTTATAGAATATACATTCCTGACTCAAAAAAATACTTGTTCAAGGATGTTACAGTTGATGAGAGTGGAGTCTGGAATTGGGAGAACTGTAAGGTTGATGTAGAAACAAGACCTCAATTGAGTGAAGCTCCAGTTGATCAGGTTGAAGAAAATCCAGGGGATGAATCAGATGAAGAGATTTTTGTCAAAGGAACAAGGTCTCTGGCTGATGTGTATGACAGAAGAGCAATATGGCAAAAATGGAACCTTCAAGCTACTCAGAAGTAGTGAAGTCAGAACCCTGGAGGATTGCCATGAAGGAGGAGCTAGCCATGATTGAAAAAAATCAGACCTGGAAGCTTGTGGATAGACCGAAAACGGAAAGTGATCCAAGTAATGGATTTTCAGGAAAAAAAAAAAAAAAAAAAAAAAAAAAAAAAAAAAAAAAGCTAAATCCAGAGGGTCAGTTTTCAAGATAAGGCCAGGCTAGTTGTTAAAGGATTTGCTCAGCAATATAGAGTAGATTTCCTGGAGACATTTGCACCAGTTGCCCAACATGTACCATCAGATTGCTGCTTGTTGTGGCAGTTCAATTTATTTGGAA